CTCTCTCTGCTCACGTCTCTCTCTCTCTGCTCACCTCTCTCTCTCTCTCTCTGCTCACCTCTCTCTCTCTCTGCTCACCTCTCTCTCTCTCTCTCTGCTCGCATCTCTCTCTCTCTGCTCACCTCTCTCTCTCTCTGCTCACCTCTCTCTCTCTCTGCTCACCTCTCTCTCTCTCTGCTCACCTCTCTCTCTCTCTGCTCACCTCTCTCTCTCTCTGCTCACGTCTCTCTCTCTCTGCTCACGTCTCTCTCTCTCTGCTCACGTCTCTTTCTCTCTGCTCACGTCTCTCTCTCTCTGCTCGCGTCCCTCTCTCTCTGCTCGCGTCCCTCTCTCTCTGCTCACGTCTCTCTCTCTCTACTCACCTCTCTCTCTCTCTCTCTGCTCACCTCTCTCTCTCTCTGCTCACCTCTCTCTCTGCTCGCATCTCTCTCTCTCTCTCTGCTCACCTCTCTCTCTCTCTCTCTGCTCACGTCTCTCTCTCTCTGCTCACGTCTCTCTCTCTCTCTGCTCGCATCTCTCTCTCTCTGCTCACCTCTCTCTCTCTCTGCTCACGTCTCTCTCTCTCTCTCTCTGCTCGCATCTCTCTCTCTCTGCTCACCTCTCTCTCTCTCTGCTCACCTCTCTCTCTCTCTCTCTCTCCCTCTCTCTCTCTCTCTCTCTCTCTCTCTCGCTCGCATCTCTCTCTCTCTGCTCACGTCTCTCTCTCTCTGCTCACGTCTCTCTCTCTCTGCTCGCATCTCTCTCTCTCTCTCTGCTCACCTCTCTCTCTCTCTGCTCACCTCTCTCTCTCTCTGCTCACCTCTCTCTCTCTCTGCTCACCCTCTCTCTCTCTCTCTCTGCTCGCATCTCTCTCTCTCTCTCTGCTCACGTCTCTCTCTCTCTGCTCACGTCTCTCTCTCTCTCTCTGCTCGCATCTCTCTCTCTCTCTCTGCTCACCTCTCTCTCTGCTCACCTCTCTCTCTCTCTCTGCTCGCATCTCTCTCTCTTTCTCTGCTCACCTCTCTCTCTCTCTCTCTGCTCACGTCTCTCTCTCTCTGCTCACGTCTCTCTCTCTCTCTCTCCTGCTCACCTCTCTCTCTGCTCACGTCTCTCTCTCTCTCTCTCTCTCTCACCTCTCTCTCTCTCTCTCTGCTCACGTCTCTCTCTCTCTCTCTGCTCACGTCTCTCTCTGCTCACCTCTCTCTCTCTCTCTGCTCACCTCTCTCTCTCTCTCTGCTCACCTCTCTGCTCACCTCTCTCTCTCTCTGTCTCTCCCCACCATAGCCGCCCCCGCTATGGTGGGGAGACACAAGGGGGCTGTCAAACTGATTGAAGAAAAAGTCGGCCACCCCATCATGAAACTCCACTGCATAATACACCAGGAAAATCTGTGCGCAAAAATGTATCTGTGGACTACTGTAGTACTCTCTTGAAGCTCTCCCTCCCCCACACGAATAAACAAAGCCCACCCCAGGCCCCTGCTGTTATAAGTCAATACCTAAATTTGCAAATCAATACATGCAAATGTTAGCAGCCAACCTATCCTTCTTTTCAAAACAGGGGCCAATTTCGCTTGGGTTTGCTAGTGTTAAAACTAAGCAGACATTCATCAGCCAACTCCATTATATTTGTAAAACACGGAGAAAGAAAGTTTCCCACCCATCATACATTTGTATTAGCAATATCGTTTTACAAGTTTACTACAGTCTAGCAACTATTCATTTCAACCTTTGGCACAACACGCCAAAACACGCATGAAATTCAAGATTTGGACAACAATAAACATGTTCACACTCTGGCATCATGTTTAAAAAAATTAATTTGCGCATCAGAAAATGTCTAACGGAAACACGCAAACTTCGAATCATATATATAATAAGCCTCTGAATTTATTCTTTTAAATAATGTTGTTATAACACTCACCATTAATGCGACTTCTGGTGCTGGACTGTAAAAAATACAACTCAAAATTGTTCACCTTACTAAGATTTTTGCATTCACTGACAATAAAATTGCCAGTTGGAACTTATGAACAATAGAAGGCCATGGCCTGTATAGTAGTACAAAAACAAGATAAAATAGAAGTACAAGACACACAATGTTCTTTGATTGTATATCTGCTACGATTGTGTATCCGTTGTTTTAGCTGACTGACGCCAATATATCCAATATATAATGTTTCCCTGTTTATTGTTCTGCCTGAATCTACCACCTGTTGTGAATAAACTTCCAGGTTGCTCTGGTGTGCAAAGATCCCTGCCTATATGCGTCTGATTTTCGACACTCACTTTCTGAAGTTTCTGATGAAAAGTTCATCTTATTTGATATATTAAGTTGATTTGACTTTTAAGTTGTAGTGAACTTCTGAAAGTTCAAGTGGCTCACAAGATAGTTCCAGTTCCAACTGGAAATTTTATTGTCAGTGAATGCAAAAATCTGAGTAAGGTGAACAATTTTGAGTTGTCGTTTTTACAGTTCACCGAGCTATAGTGAGGTCAACTTATCTTCGTTTGCTCATTTAAATATGTGTTATGGCAACCAGCTGCATTCAACATTTTGAACAATCTAATTTGACCAAAAAAATCACTGTATTTATTTTTACCAACCGTAATCGACAGGGCCAAGCCAAAGTAGCCCTTTATATTTTCTGGGTCAGTCTTAGAAAGATTAAGTTTCCCCTCTGGTTCACAGTGTGTGCGGCACGGTGGCTGAGTGGATAGCACTCTCGCTTCTTGACACGAAGGTCCTGGGTTCGAATCCCGGTCGGAACAGGGCCTTTCTGTGTGGAATTGGCATGTTCTCTGTGTCTGCATAGGTTTCCTCCGGGTGCTCCGGTTTCCCCTACCCAAGTGACCTTGGTCCATGAAATGTGCTGTATAAATAAACATCATGATCTTTTAACGTGGGGGCTAATTTAAACTCAAAATAGTAAGTTATTGTAGGGGACAGTAATCTGAACTTAAAAAAGTAAGTTTTTACAGACTTGAAATTTCCAGTAACTTGAATTTAACACTAGGACCGCCGTGCTCTAAACATACCTTGTACCGCCCCCTGCGGTCAGTTGACCGCTATGTATTTTGCGCTGATACAGACTTTTGCCAAATTGATTGTTCACTAAACCAGAACTTGATGTTGCAAAGGAATCGTGATCATAATGAAACTGTGTAAATTATTTGTCTAAATATGCTAAGTAATTGTAATTCTAGCCGAAATAAAAGACTAAGACGACACATTGTGCGTAAACTGATCCATCAAAATTACGATGACTTTTCAGGCTAGATTTATTTTGTAACTTTGCAAACACCTAAAAGGTCGGTCACTATATGTTATATTTGACTCAATAACAATATGTAAATTCAAACAATATAAATTATAGTTTAGAAAAGCACGGGACCATAACGTCTTCGCGCTGCTATATGCGTCTACTTCTTACGTCATCTCCAGACTGTTTTCTTTTTAGAGGCCGAAATCACCGTGGGAAATATTATCTAGATAATAATAATATTCGTATTGACACAAGATCATCAGCTAGGCTACCATCGCCAATGTACAATCTTCAATTTTACACGGGACACGTTAGAAATACAAATATATGTATATATATTTGTACAAATATATGTATATATATTTGTATTTATTTGAGACAAGCAGTGCTCTTTATGCTCAGAACAACATTATAATCATTGCCTTGCAGTGCGCGCTGTGCAGAATAACACACAGTGTTATCTGAATGAAATAAGAATGATATCCTTATTGATATGATGAGGGCCGCTCCTGCCACAGTCGCTCTCCTCCTGCAGGTGTCCGCGGGTGACGAGAGGATCACAGCGCTCTCTCTGCACTCTGCCTTGATAGTTCATCTAATTGTTCTATTTTATTGCGATATTGTATTCTGCTGTATTGCCTTCTTGTATGTATAAATATAATAATGTAATTGATGATGAATGAAAAGGCAGAATGGAGCGACAGCGCGCACACAGACACCTGCGTATGGCTGGCATTACGCGGGTCATGTGCGTTATTGCTTCTGGACTTGTTACAACACTGCTGTCCGTGCCGTGAATGCACTATGGGTTTACGTTCAGATTTAGAATATTATAGGTGTTCTCCCCGCTGTCACTTTCTACCTCAAAATGTGACATCTCTCACCTCCGTCAGACTGTTCTCATTCAATGTCTTGAAGCACTGTCAGGGCTTCTACCGTGTACTTGCAGCTCTATTCATTTTGTACTCCTCCCTCTCTCCCAAATAATAATAAAAAAGTCCCTTTAGAGTCTAATGAAAACATATTGATACATTTTTATAAGGCGCGAAAAACCCCCGGGAAAGGTTACTATGACAACAGGCGCCCCTGCGCCATGTATCTCCATGGGGCAGCAGAAAGGGCTGTGGTTTAAAAGTTAAAATGCGTGTAAATCTTGTTTTCTTTACTTTTTCCAAAACCAAAACACACCAAAATATAAACAACAAGTACCTAGAAAAAGTCATAAAATTTCAACTTCTGGCGTTTTGTTTTGAATACACTAATTAGCATATTAAAGTGAGTGACGGTCAGTTGACCGCTAGGGGCGCTCCTAGTGTTAAACACTTAGTTGGCAGAACTTGGAAAACTTAACTGACACAACTTAATAAGTGTAGTTCTTCAAAACTTGAAGAATTAAGTTAATGTAGCTCGCGAAAATTCAATTTGGTAGACGTCAGCCAAAAGCTACCCCCTCCAGGCCGGTTCGCTTCCCCAGCCTATCGCTCGGCAAACGCCCCCTTCCAATCATCCGTGCCGGACAGGCAGCCGCTTAAAAGCGGAGCAACTCCCACTCTCTGCCTTCTCGAAGCCTCGCAAGCCGTGCACGGAAACCGGGCAAGAGATCACGCCAAACGGTTGTAAAGCCAGGTAGCACGGCCCCAAAGTACCGCGAACTTTTGAAAGCAGGGGGGTCGGTGACAAAAAGGCTTGTAAAGAACGACCTGTGCTGACCCGTGGCAGTAACCGGTTCACGAGCACCAAACTTCGCCCATATCCATCACGGTTCCACCACGGCGTACGAGAGGCGCGAAAAGCGATATGGACCGCGCAGCAGCGATCCCGAAGGACAGGCATTTAGAGGACGAAAAGACAGGCATTGTGCAAGAGACCCCAAGGAAGAGAACGGGATGGGGAAGACGGGGAACGAGAATCTTAACCTGGAGATCGCCTTCTCTGCTTGGCTGCCCACCAAGAGAGAACACCCACAACACCCCGTACGGACGATACGACTCTAAATCACCGGAAAAAATGGGGGGCTTAGGAATGTAAGAGGCATGAGATCACCGTAAGCTCGCCCGGTTTATGCAGGGGCCTAGACTCAGACACATCTAGGGTCGTGCCGGTGTAGCCAGCTTCTGTGGTGGCTCTGTTGCGGTTAGCACCGCGCACTGGGAGTAGGGACGGACCTATCCCACGACGAAGTGGCAAATGATGGCAACATCACATAGCCAAAATGACGGCCCGCAGCCCGTCTTATCAGGCCCGGGGTACGGAGTGTAGAAGACGGTGTATGACTGGGGAAGGACCTAGGGTACTATTGTCCCTCTGTCCGTAGCGTGATCTCCCAGACCTTCGAGGATGTGGGGCCGAGTAACGTAAGCGAGCCCCGCACCCATCTGCCTACGCGGTCGGACCAAGACAGACACAGCATAGAGACAGAACCGTAGGGAAACTAGTAGACCAAGAAGATGGGGCACGCGAACCAATGACGTAGCCCTATGGGCGGGCTAGCCACAGACTAGAAGCCCGCGTCCGACCGCCAGCCGGGATCGACCTTGTGCTGTCGCGACCTCTCTGGTGTCCGGTATCCAGAGGTAGGACGTGTTTAGCCTTGGCTTACCTGCCCACCACGGAGCCGACCGGCGCCGCCCGTGTCGTGAGGTGCCATCGTGCACCAGTCGTCCGCCGGTTCCCAACACCGAGCGGGAGCCTGCGAGCACAAGGAACCATGCTGACGAATCACTAGGTGTGCCTGGTCACATCCAAAGGTCTGACAGTACCGAGTCACCGCGTTTTGATTAGCCTGGCGCCCCTCCTCCCGCAAGCACAGAGAGATGGTCGGTGGTGTGCCACGAATGGGACCCGGCTCAGTGGTTCAAGCTCTGAGCACATCGCGCCATGTAGCAGCGGGTGAGCTGAAGTATTACTGTTGGGAGGCGGGGCAACAGCTGTAAGCGGGGGGATATGAGTAACGTGCCACCAAGAGCGCCCACCCTGTCTCCGAAGGCTTCTGGGACGTCCATGAGCCCAACGACCAGCACCCGGTGCGACGTGGTGCAGAGGAGTGTCTTTCCCCAGGACCCCCTAACCGGAACAGAGACATAGTGCCTAAGCAGGCCAGAGCAACACTTAGTGGCAGAACGTCATCGGCCCTCTGTCGCAAAGATCCGGATACAAAATTTTGTCCGAGAACCTGGGACGACATTGGCAGGCGATGCCAGGTCACGGTCCTGTGCACCCACCACAGTGGTTCTTTTGGTTTCGGTCTACACCCCTAGCCCCCCCGCCCTGGCCCGTGATCGCCTTACACCCTTCACTACCCCGTTCGGCAATTGGAGCAGTGGGTTAGTGTACGCACCAACAGCGTGCCGTTCAGCCCGGGACCGAGAACGCCGCACCCTAAGCGTTCCATCCTTACCACTGTGCGGGGGCTCTGCACCGCCGCATAGAGTCTGACCTGACCAGCGTGCCCGTGTGCTGTGCCTGCCGGGATGAAGAGCCCCAGGTACCCTATATGTGCTGATTGATCAAACGTACGCCTCCGTGGCGTCGACCCCACGAGACCGAGAGGAGCTATATGGGACGTAGGTAGCCATGTACGCGGGGGCAAGAGAACGCAATGGAAATAAAAAACTGGCTGTCCGGTATCCCAAACCCCTGCAGAATGGGGGTAGAGGGACGCAAAGGTCGGAGAACGGGAGACATAGGCTGTTGAAAACTTTCCAGCTTGGTCAGGGCGCGTCCAGAGGCCTAGCATGGGCCCGGGAAAGGACATCAGGGCTGCATTTCGCCCGCCGCCCCCAGCCAACGCACCTATCGGCTAGCGGCGAGGTCCCTAACTCACCCCCGTCGTTCTGGACCACCTACACCCCTGCTAGATCCGAGCGAGAGGGCCAACGCCCCCCGGCCACCCAGAGGCATCACGTGGGCGCCGGGAATACAGAGAGGGACGACAACTGATTGGGACAGACGGTAGATCCAACCGGCGCAATGAAAAGGCGGCCATGAAGGACGCACGACGTGAGAGGCCGGAGAAAGCGACGACAGGAGCGCTCAGAGTGATTCCGCCCGACGGAGATTGTGGGCTACGAGCAGACTGCCATGGGTCTATGAGCTGAGTCCTCACCCCTACGGGCCCAATGGCAGGGTACCCTCGTGCGCCCTGTTGTCACACCAGGATAAGGCTTCTGGGGCTTCGGGCGAAATAGAGCGTCAAGCCCACAAAAATCACTTTCTCAACCTACGATGTCGTGTAGCTAATAAAATCAATGTAAGGCCACCAGGTCCGCCCCTGCCACTACTCGCCTGTGGTCGGCTCGAGTCCCCATCCTAGGGACTGCGCGCGACTGGTAATATAGAATACATCAAGGTGTAAGAGGCCGGGACCAGTGAAGCAGAAGACGTAAGTGCGTAGAGAAAAGTTGTATTCCGTGCCGACCGCCCGCACCCGCCGCTGGGTTCGTCGAGCGGGTTCCAGTATTGTGAGTGGGCCGCTCTCGGGTAGCCTTATTTGCGGCCGCAGTCGCCCTAACATAGGAAACGAAGCGGGCCCAGACTATAGAAGCCCGCTCTCACCGTCCGTCGGTGCGGGACTAAAAGACAAGCAACTGCGATAAGTCCCGAGAGGGACGAGAGAAGCGCGCCAAGGGCAGCTGCAGCATAGGTAGCGCATGGACAACCAGAGTCGGATAGCGTGAGCCACCTGCGAGGTGGACATATACGAGAGGACTTGGACGGCGGGCTGAACCGGCGACTCCCCGCTTTCCAGTCCAATATGATCAGGGGCAGGGGAAGACAGCACGCCAGAAAACGCCTAAAGGGCGGCCGTCTCCGAACACTGTTTGGCTCGAAGGGGCTGAGTCGAGACGGGCTTACGCGACGTCTAGCGACGAAAACAGGTTTTACCATGACGACGGTGGACCGTGCACCATCGCCTTGCTCGGACTCGTTCATATCTGATGGAGATGTCTCGCCCCCTCCTATCCTTTGGCTTCAACCCAGCGACTCCTTTGGACGTCGATCTGACCCTTGACCCTGGCCTCTACGTAGAGCAATACCTCCCAACAATAGGTCAGCGGGGATTACCCAGCCTTCCAAAAAAGACCGCGCACTAAACGAGCCCGCAACACATGCGAGTACTGAAGTCAGGTCCCGGACAGGGGTCGCGCCACAAGATTAGCGAGGCCGAATCAGTTTAGTATTGGGTGGCTCACATCACAAAGGAAACGGTTGCTTCCCGGGTCTGTCAACAACGATCAACCTGCTTCGGCATCCGCCCTCAGACGACCATCCGCGACGCGCTGACAAAAGGGGTGAAAGCCCCGGCCCCATTCCTGTCAGGGCGACGAAGAGAGCACCAGCAGGAGCTAGGCGAGGAACCCGCACAAAAGAACTCAAGACACCGGTCCGCGAAAGGAACCCACTGAATATAAAGAACCAACTGCACAGGTGTAATCGCACTGCTCCCGCCGCTTATCACGATACCTCATAGCTGACCACCTAAGGCGTGCGCCAGCCCGTACTCTGCTCCCGTGTTACCCGGACAAAGTCGGTCGTTGCGTGTGAACGAGCGTGCGGGCCTGCGTGCTTTGTGATAGGAGGGAGGGTGAGGCTGCGAGAGACTGGGCAGCCGCGCCGAGTCCCTCAACGACCGACCGAGCCCCGCATTTGGGTAATCCTCTCCTGCTGCTCCCACGTGGTGCTAAGTTCGCTTAACAAACTCTCCCCGTCGCCTTAGCCTTATCACCTTCCGTGCCCCACCCATTGACCTCTCCCGCGCCCCCGTTGTGGAAACACCTTCCCCGTGACCGCACACATCCTACGACACTTTGGTACCATGCCCATGTTATTCGCTGCCCCGCGGACCCATATTATCCATCCCACGACCATTAGTACGCCTCCTCTCTTGGAGGGGGGGGGGGTGGGAGGGGTGGCACTGCCCGTCAACCCTGACCGTAATACTTGACGTAGCACACCTCTTAGCGTTGTTGGTTTGGTGTGTAAAGCGCGGACGGTGTGCAATAACGTCGGGTCGTCCCACACGAGCCCATGTCCGTATAGTGAGCTAACCCCATAGCGCCGTATTGGTACTTAATGCACGCAGGGTGAAACACGCAAAACCAACTCAACGATCCGGCGATTTGACTCGGATAAACTGCGAGTCTACGCGACCGAGCGGACTCACTATCGGCGGGGGTCCAGAAACGCGCCAATGAAACCCCTCCCGTCGTACCTTTATCCCACCATTGCGCTTGTTTTTGTACGTTCCCCTTGCTAGACACCATCACCCCGCGAGCTTTGGCCCGTCGCAACGCCAAGGCTCACGGAGCGCCGCCTAGTCGAAGAAGCACGCCGTAAGCCGATTGGTGAAAATGGATGACGGCACGACGTCACCGACCGCAGGAGTCTTAACAGACACCTACTGTCACAGACGACTCTGAAAACCGAGACCCGGACACGGTAAGCCAGGGTCAAGTATTCCCTCTATAGGGTCCTACCCCCATCGACCATCCCAGTAGCGCCTAATGGCTGTAGAACTGCACGCCAGACCGTGGGGGTGGCGACAAGCATGGTCCACTGGCAGTCGCCATTGACTCTAAACAGTTGTCTCTGATCCTCTCACTCCACGAGGGCTGCATCGCCGCAGCCCTGTGTCCTGCGCCCAACTTGGGCAGTGACCGTCTTCCCACGTCCACTATCCAGTTGCCTCCGGTCCTGTCCCAAGCCCCCCTGTCCTAACCCCCCGCTCCACTCAAACCGAGCTTCTTGACCCCGGGGGTCCCGGTAAAGCCCTCACGGTGGTTGTGGGTGTGTTTCTCCCCGTCCCGGTGCCCAGGATGACACACACCGCCTGTTGCCTCTGCATGCTCCGCTCCGGACCCCAAGGTGGTATCACTCTCTCAGCTTGCCACCAACTCAACGTCCTCTGTGACCCAAGCTAGACGCACAGGGCGATGCATGTGCCGCAAGTGCGAAGAACACAGACTGTGAAGGCACACGGGCGGTCGGCAGTCGGGCAGGGGACAAGGCTAAGCGTCACCGCCTCTTTCAACACAGGTCGGAGCCACTGCTCTGTTTCGCGGAGTTGCCACAACTAGCGAACGCGCGTTATTAGCGTGCAATCGGGGGGGGGAGGGACAGAACAGGAGAGTGCGCACCGGCAAGTGCCGACGCTGACCAGGCACGGCAATCGACAACACGTGCATGAGCGCTCCAAGCCGTCCGGCGTAGCGACTCGCCGGTGACCTCACGGGGGGGCCTGTACAAAGCTTCGATGGGCATTGTCCTCACAGGCGGGTATATGTTCATGCCCGTCCTCTGCGGTATGCCGAAAGACGCCGGCCGGTTGGCCGGCTAGAGGGTGGCGAACGCACACCTTAAGTAGCAGCCGCATGGCTGTGTTCCAGGTAAAACGGGTGCACCGCACAACGGCTCAAAACCACTACTACGCCGTGGGTGCAAAGAGAAGAGACCAGTATGAGAATGTGGAACTCCATAGCGACCTGAACAGCTACTCCGACAATCGCTCCGGCCCACACCGCTCTGGTGCGCCGCTCATCTTGCTGTGCATCCCGCCAGTCAAAGATTCTGCCACGCACCGCAGCTTTCTGCGTGACCTGTATCCGTACCTTAAGTGGCCGTTCTCGTACTCTCTTGTGCAACCGGCTCCACTCCGAGTCCCCTGCTGGGGACACACCCATCGCGATCGCATGGAGACGGAGGGTGCACCCGATATAAAGGACAGAGCTGCTCCTGTTTCCCATCCTCGCTCCCTGCGTGCGTACACTGCCAGATTACGGGCTCGCGTGGTTATGGCCGCAGCCCGGAGCGCGTATCATTCACGCGGTCCTGCGCGCCACCTATCTCCGGAGCGCAGTAACACTGAACGAACAATGAGGTGTATGTACTTATGTGTCGGCCCAATTGTCACACCGCCTCTGTTCTGCGGTCGAGTATATTGTTGGTTGGACACAATGGGTTCTAGTTGTGCCCCACTCCGGAAGTTATCCACCTACCTTCCCCAGGGGAAGAGTGTTACTAACGGTCGCCCATGGTGTACGTCGCGAAGTTCCAGCGTTGTCTGCACACGTCTTCTTGTATAAACAGGGGAGCCCCTGTATAGTCCCGCTTAGGTGCATCATGCTCCAGTAAACGTGTTTTTCTTCGTCATGCATTGTCCCCTCATTACCATTCCCTGGTCCATCGGCCGCCTGCCGAACACCCTCGTTGTAGACTCGCCCCGATCACCCAGAGTTAGACATGAGAGCCGCACACGGCTACCAACGTAGCGACCCGATATAAATAAACAAGACAAGCACAGACCTTGGCATCTCGGCCAGGAATTGCGTATGACGAGGCCCCGTGCGCAACGAGTGGAGCCAGGAGCGCAGCTGAGGGCGGCCGCGGCCTAGGCATACCCGAACGCGTCGTTCCAACAATGGCGTGTGCATAAAGGGCACCCGGACGTGACCTATCTGCCCCTGTCCTACGCCGGGCAGGTGCGATGCGCTGCCCCCCGGTTGCACCCTAGTACCCAAGCTCTCCCGCCTATCGCTGTATCTTGCTCACGGACCCCGGTGAGACCGGTGACCTCGGGCTGCACAGTTAGATGCATTCAGACTTGGGCTCGATCGTTTGAGCGGCCGTCAGCCATCTGTTCGCGGTGAGGGAGGCGTTGGTCACGTAAGAGCGAAGCCTAGAACATGGTGCAATAGCCCCCTACTAATTCCGATTACCCAAATCACAAAGACGAAAAGGCACCGCGTAGCAGGGTGGTTATGATACCCCCGCCTCAGGATACTACAAGGAAAAATGTTGCGATGGACCCGGGGTAGGATCATGAAAAAGGTGCGAGGCAACCTCAATGCGACTCACATGCGCGACCTTGTAAACACGAGACGGCAGGCACTGGACTTGTAAAATGTTCAGATTACTATCATTATTAAAATTAAAATAGCCATTTTATCACCGATGCATAAACATTCCACAAACTTCCCATGCTTGTAAAGATGAGAGAACTCGCTTCTTTTAATAATCTCACAACCCAATCTAGTTGCTGACTCTCTGCTCCGCATCAACAACTCTCTAAGAAGAACCAAGGCTGCGAAGGAGGTGGAGCAGAGGAGAGGAGAGCCGTGTGCAGAGCGGGCGAGAGACGTGAGCAGACGAGAGAGAGAGTGGAAGCAAGTGAGAGAGCAGAGAGAGACGTGAGCAGCGAGAGAGAGACAGAGAAGAGAGAGACGTGAGCAAGAGAGAAGAGAGACGTGAGCAGAGAGGAGAGAGACGTCGAGCAGAGAGAGGAGGAGCAGAGAGAGACGTGAGCAGAGAGAGAGAGACGGTGAGCCAGAGGAGGAGACGCGAGCAGCGAGGGAGAGAGGAGAGAGGATCGAGCAGAGGTGAGAGACGTGGCAGAGAGGAGGAGAGACCGTGAGCAGAGAGAGAGAGCTGAGAGTGACCGTGGATCTGAGCTGAGGAGCGACGCGAGCAGTAGAGAGACGTGAGCAGAGAGAGAGAGACGTGAGCCCGAGGAGAGACGTGAGCAGAGAGAGAGGAGACGCTAGCATGTGAAGGAGTAGTCGTGAGCAGAGACCGAGAGAGACTTGCGAGCAGAGAAAGAGAGCAGAGAGAGACGTGAGGCAGAGCGAGCGGTCGCGAGCCAGAGAGGAGACGTGTGAGGCAGAGGGAGAGACTTGAGCAGAGAGAAGACGTGAGCAGAGAGAGAGACGTGAGCAGATGAGAGAGAGGCGTGCGCAGAGAGAGAGAGCCGTGAGCAGAGAGAGACCGTTGAGCAAGGAAGGGGAGAGGAGAGAGGCGTGAGCAGAGAGAGAGAGAGAGAGGGACAGGAGAGAGACGTGAGCAGAGAGAGAGGACGCGAGTGGAGAGAGAGGCAGAGAGAGACAGTGAGAGAGCGAGAGAGACGTCGAACAGAGAGGAGAGAGCAGAGAGAGCCGTGAGCCAGATGAGAGAGAGACGCGAGCAGAGAGACGGTGGAGCATGATAGAGAGCGTCGTTGAGCAGAGAGGAGGAGAGACTTGGCAGAGAGAGACGTGAGCAGAGAGAGACCGTGAGCCGAGAGAGGAGAGACGCGAGCAGAGAGAGACTCGTGAGCAGAGAGAGAGTGTGAGCCAGAGAGAGAGAGCAGTAGAGGAGACGGTGAGCAGAGAGGGAGAGAGCGAGCAGAGAGAGACGGAGCAGAGAGAGAAGAGACGTGAGCAGATGAGAGAGAGTGTGAGCAGATGAGAGGAGAGAGCCTTGTGGCAGCGGAGAGAGACGTGTGATGACCAGAGAGAGAGCAGGGACTGTGGTTGAGCAGGAGAGAGGAGAGACGTGAGCAGAGAGAGAGAGGTGAGCAGAGAGAGACGTGCAGCAGGAGAGAGGAGAGCGAAGCAGAGGAGAGAGATGCGGAGCAGAGAGAGAGAACGCGAGAGACGCGCGACGTGAGCAGAGACGAGAGAGAGAGACCGTAGTGAGCAGCGAGAGACGTGGAGCTGAGAGAGAGGAGACGTGAGCAGAAAGAGAGAGACGCGGAGCAGAGAGAGAGAGGCGTGAGCAGAGCGAGAGAGAGGGAGAGGTGAGCAGAGAGAGCGTTGAGCCGTGAGAGAGAGACGTGAGCCAGAGAGAGAGAGAGCGGAGCAGAGAGAGAGAGGACGAGAGAGGTCTGAGCAGATGAGAGAGAGACGACTCGGGAGCCGAGAGAGAGAGAGGTTGATGAGCAGAGAGAGTGAGACCGGCGCGCAGTGATGCGAGAGACTGCAGAGCAGAGAGAGAGCGCGAGCAGAGAGGAGAGATTGCGAGCAGAGAGAGAGATATGCGAGCAGTGAGAGAGACGCTGCCGAGCAGAAGGAGGGAGAGATGCGAGCAGAGAGCGAGATGCGAGCAGAGAGCGAGAGGCGTGAGCAGAGAGAGAGACGAGAGAGACGTGAGCAGAGAGAGAGGTGAGCAGGAGAGAGAGAGCTTTGCGAGCAGAGCAGAGCGAGAGAGATCGAGCAGAGAGAGAGAGACGTGAGCAGAGCGAGAGAGCCACGAGCAGAGCAGAGACGTGTTGAGCAGAGAGGAGAGGGCCACCCGCGACGCGAGAGGAGCGGGACGCGAGCAGAGAGAGAGTCGCGAGCAGAGAGAGAGAGACCGCGCGAAGAGACGAGAGAGGACTCTGAGCAGAGAGAGAGAGACGCCGAGCAGAGAGAGCGAGACGCGAGCGAGCAGAGAGAGAGAGATGTGAGTCCGCGTGTCTATGGTCCGCCGCATCGGGCGCCCAGACGCCAGTGCGGTCCTGAGCTGTCGGCGGGGGTTCACAGCAGTGCTCCCGGGGGGCCAGAGCGGAGGATGTAACGTACGTACGGTTTATCAAAACATATCACAATATTTACGTATAACACTAGTGAATTTCCACCTAAGAATTTTTCAGACATTAAAGACAGATGTTATCTAAATAATTGTTTAATGAAAAAACAATTTTGCCACAAGAACCAAAAGAGTGCCTAGACCAAGAATCGAACCCTGGGGTCTCCAGGTCCCTGTATTTAATGCTAAACCATTGGCAACAATCGCTACCCTCTGGGCTTAGACAGGTGTGCACGCAGAGTCTCCCCCCCCCTATACCTGAGCGTCTAAGTGCTGGCAGAGCTAAGGGAACTTAGCCTGCCACCTTGTGGCGCTAAGATGTACTCTTTTTCACGCCAGACTGCTTTGAATTCCCGAGATCAGGAAACGTGAATGAAGACGACAAAACGGAATGGGGACCTAATGTCGATGTGTAAAATGACGTCGTTCTGGTAATATATTTATTTTGATATGACTGAGGAAGATCGTTGATGAATATTGAGAATAGAAGGGACCTAAAAGTGGAAACGCCCTTTATCAATTATGCATTTTGTTGGGGACTCAGGACAATGTGAACAACATATGAAAATGGCGTTGGTATCAAGACCTATTGCGTTAAGCTTGTCAAGTAGAAGGGGTGATCTACTAGATCAAAGGCTTTGGAATGTCATAGGAATATGGGGGGGGGGGAGGAGCCCAGAGAATATTTTGGGTCAAATCCAAGAAAATACTCATTGATAATTTTAACAGAGCGGGTGGTTGAGTACCTTGATCGGAACCCAGGATGGATAGGGAACAATATGAAATGCATTAGTGTAGTGATATAACTGTTGGTAAATCCAAATTTTTCAAATAACTTTGAACTGCACAAATAATAGCAAATTGGCGAAAATTGTTTAAGTCAGTGGAACTGCTTTCCAACTACACTTACCAATTTCCATGGTCTTGTGGACTTTCTGTTATTGTATCTGGTTAATTTGATATTTTTTTTTGTTCCCTATGTGTGCCCCCACCCCCCCCAACCCCGCCCCCTCCCCCCCTCATATGCTTCCTGTCTGTCTTGTTGCTTGTTTGCCCCTCCCTGATGTGCTACACTGTGTCCACCTGTTGTGTATTTAGATCCTGTTGCTCATGCTTCTTGTTGTCGGCCCATTGATGTTTTTCCCCCTTCTCTTGTTCCGGTATATCAGTTTTTACCCTTTTTTAGGCATTTATTAAATTATATTACTTTTGCAGTTCTGTTTTGCGTTCATTCTCTGACAACACGGATTATCCAGACCACAGAAGGTCTCCACACGCTGGGCCATGAAATTGGGCGACTAGAAACAGGTTCCACCTCCACACCTACTCATCAAGTGGTGCTCCCTTCAACTCACTTCATTGAAATGTTGCACCCAATGGTGTGTCACTCAGGGTCATTCTAAAAAAACTCAAATAAAACTGCAACAAACCGTAATTTAAAATGTATATTTACAAACCCCCCAAAACTGAGGTTTCATACAATTGCCTGTACCAAAGTTTGGTAGGCCCATTTTCTATGTTTATGTCTCTACCCATTGTAACCTCGCGGGGTTACCAATGCTGGTCGCGCTCTAATCTTTACATAGACTTACCAGAGAGTCTGTAATTTAAGGCCCAAATGTTCGGCATGAATTTTGGAACTAATCACAAATTGGATTGGCTATGGCTCCTCATCAGTAGTATTCAAGATAACGTGGCTCTTGGGCTGTGTGCCAGATGAACGTAAGGCAGGATCTTGGATGCAGTGACGTCGTTTGTTCATTGTTTAATCCGTCCTCCCGGATAGTCATTCTATAAGAACCCAAGACATCATCCACGGGCGGCAGCATCCCCTTCATCAGTTCTGAGTTTTCGCAAGTGGTTTTTAAAAATAGCTCTCCTTGAAGAAGGAGCGGAGGGACACAACTGTGGCACTTGTGAGGATCTCATCCAATTCTTGCAGCGGTACTGCTACTTGGATTGTGGTTCGCCATGTCCACCAGCGTCGATAGGCTGAACACAACGGTCTGGGATCGAGGGCAAAGCGAACTCCTTCAGGAGGATAAACAAAGAAATTCATCGAGCTATACTTAAGCTCCTCATTAAATCTAGCAATCAAAAGTACACAGGGGGGACTAATAACCCCCCCTTCGCCCCAAAAATAAATATTGAATAATTTTAAAAAGCTTGAAATGAATGTAAGGAATTGTACACAAAAATTGCCTTTAAATATCATCCCTTTTCTTCCCCTTAATACATTT